TATATATATATATATTAAAACTGATCCACAAAAAGAGAGCTCGATATAATTTTTATTATAGAGCATATAAGTGTATTACAATTAATGAGATCCAAACGAACTACCTCATACAGATGATTATTTTTTTTACAGAATTTTTAAATAACTAATATGAATATGATTATTTAAATTATAAACTTAGTGTTTAAAAATTTATTAATATTATATTGACATAATTAGCTTGATTATATTTGAATGAAATTAATATATTAATAATTTACTTTTTTTTTTTACTGTAACTTTTACCATATAGTTAACGATCTGGTATTGAATGGATGCATAGTAGAATTTCTTTTTTTAAAAAACAAAGTTTTAATATTAAAATTCCTATTCCAATTCTGAAATAATTTTAGGCTCCTCTCTAAAATGGTTCATAACCTTTTTTGGAGGGGGGTTATTCTTCCTTCTTGCACAGGTGTTGACAGGTAACATTTATGTCGGTGTCTATTTTCAATCGTTGCATTTCTCCGTACCCAACTCCACCACAACCACCTTAGGTCCCTTATCCCTCTCCCTCCTCTAGTATAGGCTAATTCCTACTCCCTTTCTTTTTATTCTTTCCTTTTTCATCTTTCCTTCTTTTCCCTTTTGAATTTCCTGCGAAGAAACATTTTCGTAAATGTATTTCTTTTGATAAGTCCAGGAAAAAAAACTATTTTTCCATGGACGAAATGATCATCTGTATGAGGTAAATCATTTGGATCTCATTAATTGTAGTGCGCATATATTAATAAATACACATATTATCCTTCACCGGTATCACGACTCAGAGTTTCATGCATAACACGCAGTCATCAGGTGTTTAGTATAGCGTGGTCGATAAGTCATTTAAATATCTGGTGAACTCAATGTTGGCAAAGCGAATATAATACATGGTTTCCAGTTTGCAAAATATATAAATATATATACATAGGTGCATACCCATACATGTATATTTTTTGAATAAAAATTCCAAGAGGATTCATAATTTATTTCATTGGGATCGTAAATAATTCATCAGACCTACAAATTCAAAAAGAAAACAGAAAAAACAACTCCGGAAATAAAAATAGAATTTAGAGAGAGTGTAAGTATGAGAGCGTGGGACGAATGTTAGAGCTAAAGAGAGGGGTAACAGACGAGAGAAGGTGGGAGATTAAACCTTAACAGAGAGAATTTTAAGAGAGGTGAGTGGAAGGGGTTTAAGTAAGAGAAATAAGACTGTTGTCGGATGTCTAATGCATAAGGATACATTTCGTGGTGACATACACACGCCATAGACGATCTAATGTTGAAGATCAGAATAAGAGGGAGGGAAAAGAAAGAAGAGGTGGGGCAGAGAGATGGGGCGAAACAAAGTAAAATTGAAGGACATTTACTGAAAGGGCCGGTGTGTAATTGAGAAAATTTGACAAATTTAATATCGATATAATAGATATTAAATTTGTCAATTTTTTTCTGTTTTCTTTTTGAATTTGTAGGTCTGATGAATTGGATCGCATTTACGATTCCAATGGAATAAATTATGACCATGGAATATTAGTGTTTAAGCCTTTTTATTATATATATATATATATATATATATATATATATATATATATATATATATATATAACACTTTAAACGTTATTATTAGTGGATAATCGTATTTGAGTAGGCGCCTCGTTTATCTATTAAACGATATATTTATTTTCACCTACCAGTTAGGATATACTTAGAAATCTTATTAAGAAAAATTGGCGCTCTCCAGCCCTGAATCAAACCTGCGTCCCACGGGTTCGAGGCTATCACCGTTCAGCCCCGTGCGCCTTACCACTTGGACACGAAGAGACAGGCGGTCAAGCGCAGCCAATTTTATGCGTTTAAGGGAATTTTCTCCTGTTTCATAATTCTCTAGTGTTTTCATACCTGCACACAGTTTCATATCCAAAACAACATAAACAAAGAGAATTTTTAGAATGGATACTCGTATTTGAGTAGACATTCTGTTTAGATATTAAACAGTATATCTATTTATTTTCCCCTGTGCAAATGTTCCCAGCGACGTCTTTTAGAAAGTTACCTAAATATGAGCTGGTGTGAATGTTTAATGAGTTTTCTATTGCTGTACGAATCAGTGAATTCTTTCCTATGGTATATTCCATTATACCTTTATTGATTTTCTTTTGTTTTTTTTTACGGTTTGTCAACCCTTTTTGAGTTATTTTTTAAATTGTAGTATATTTCGCGTTGTAGGGGCTTGCTTATAGTATCCGGTGTTCCTTGGCGATCCCCCCATCTAGGCAATGACCGGACTCGATAATGCTTAACATTAACGTGTTTTCGGTGTGATTAGAGCGTAAACAATTTTCGGGAAGAAAATAGGACACTGATTGGAACATAACCTCATAGAAAGGGCACTTCGCCGGGGTGTGATGATCAGCAAGTATGTCTCGCTAGATCAATTGCGACTGGGTAGTGAGTTCGATCCTCACTGGGTGCTATACAATTTCGGCTGCGTGAAAATTCTAAGACAAACTTAGAAAATTGTCATAAATATGGATGCGTTTTTTTTTTTAATTTTTCTCGACAAGAAAAAAAAAAGAAAATGTGTCGGCCACAAAGAAGTTTTCAGATGTGCAATGCATTCTAATTTTTTCTCGTGTTTTTCTGAGACACTGACCGCCAGATATCATCCTATTCATAACGATTACATTAAACATTTTCGGTATGTAACAAATACGAACCTATCTATCTATCTATCTAGCTAGCTAGCTAGCTATCTCATTCTGCATTTTTTCTTTTCTTTTCTTTTCTTTCTTTCTTTCTTTCTTTCTTTTTCTTTCTTTCTTTCTTTTTTCCTCTTTCTTTCTTTCTTTCATTTTTCCCATAGACATAATACCGTTTCTCTCTCTACGTAAGTTACCATCTTTCTTTTAATTCTCATTCATTTTCAAATGCATTTTCTTCCTTCTTTTTTTTTCAAATAGATTAATTTCCTGTTTCACTTATTTCTTTCATTCGAAATTTATTTTTACCACTTTTCAATTGCTTCTCATTTCATTTTTTTACGAATACAATTTTTCATTCCTTCCTTCTTTATGCACAAAGTTTATTTCTTGCTTTTTTTCTTCCCTTTTTTCTTTTTGCGTTGTTTCCTTCTATGCTTTTTCATTTTCTTCTTTCATTCATTTCGTCATTTTTCTTTTTTGTACCCATTTTTCGTTCGTTATTCTCATAATTCCCTTTACGCTGATGCCTTTTCTTTCATCTTTTTCTTTTCTTTCTTTATTTCATTCTTTCTTGCTTGCTTGCTTGTTTTTTCTTTGTTCCACTTAATCTTATCCATTCTGGCCTTTTTCTCTTTCTTTTCTCTTCTCCTTCATTCTTTCTTTCATTCATTCTTTATTTATTTATTTATTTATTTCATTCTTTACTTCTTTCATTCTTTCTTTGTTTCTTTCTTTCATTCTTTCATTCTTTCTTGCTTTCTTTCTTTCTTTCTAGCTATCTATCTAGCTAGCTATTTCATTCTGCTTCTATCTATCTATCTATCTATCTATCTATCTATCTATCTATCTATCTATCTATCTCAGACTCTTCTAGTTCTATGTATGTATGTATGTATCTATCTATCTATTATCTATCTCATTCTGCTTCTTTCTTTCTTTCTTTCTTTCTATCTATCTATCTATCTATCTATCTATCTATCTAGCTAGCTAGCTAGCTAGCTATCTCATTCTGCTTCTTTCTTTTCTTTCTTTCTTTCTTTTTTCTTTCTTTTTTTCTTTCTATCTATCTATCTATCTATCTATCTATCTATCTATCTATCTATCTCTCATTCTGCTTCTTTTCTATCTATCTATCTATCTATCTATCTATCTATCTATCTATCTATCTATCTATCTATCTATCTATGCGCGCGCGCGCGTGTGTTGTATACTGTTGCTTTTTCTTCCACTCTAATGTCTTTGGGAAAGCCGAGAATCTATTTCCCATTTGCTTTTAAATAGTAGACTAAATTTGGCCGTGTATTTTTTTTGGTCGCAACCAGTCGAGGAGATGAAATTTACCTTGTTTATCCATTTGGTATAAACAAGGTAATTTCCATTCATTCGCGACTACTATCACCGAATACCTATACTCCTCACTCCTACTACTACCCCCATTGAATGCCTAAATAACCCCCCTACCAAATATTATATGAACCACTCCTTCCGCCTCCGACCCCAAATGCCCATATATATATATATATATATATATATATATATATATACTATCGATTATCATTCCATAATAAATTCCTACTACTTCCATCATCACCGCCAACAATGAATACCTATAGTGTCCTCCTTCTTACCACAGCCGCTAAATAAGCATAATTAGCACCACCGACCCATCACCCACACACACACACACACACGCACACACACACACACGTATATATATATATATATATATATATATATATATATATATATATATATATATATATATTTTTGGGAAGTGCTATTTGATGATCCGGCGTCCTTTAAAAGGGCTCTGGTGAAATAAATTATTATAATGGTACCTTAAAGTGGTCTGTTTTTTCTTTTAAATATATATATATATATATATATATATATATATATATATATATATATATATATATTCAAATTGCATCGACAAAGATTAGACGAAATAGAAAAATAAGGTGGGAATCAAATTATCAATCTCAAACATTATGAAGATTTTGATTGGTTGAAATGAGAAAAAAAAAAACGCGAAAGAAAAGGAAAGGAAGGAAAAATGTGAAGGTAAAGAGAAGAGGGAAAAAAAGAAAGGAATTCAAGGCAATATAAAATTAGGTGGAGGAAATGAAGAAAGAGTGAAGAAACGATGAAAGAAAGGGATAAGAGGGAAAAACGAGGGAAGGCAACAGAAACGATTAAAAGAAAGAAAGAAAGAAAGAAAGAAGGAGAAGGTTAAGAATAAAGAAAGAGGAAAGACAAGAAACAATAAGATTAACAGAATGAAAGAAAGAAAGAAAGAAAGAAAGAAGCAGAATGAGATAGATAGATAGATAGATAGGAGAAGAGGAAAGAAAGACCAGAAAGGATGAGATTAAAAGAGAGAAAGAAAGAAAGAATGAAAGAAAAAATTAAAACAATGAAAGAAAGAATGAATGAAAGAAAGAAAGAATGAAAGAAAGAATGAAAGACAGAAAAAGAAAGAAAGAATGAAAGAATGAAAGAAAGAAAGACTGAATGAAAGAAAGAAAGAAAGAATGAAATAAAGAAAGAAAGAAACAAACAAAGGATGAAAGAAACAAAGAAAGAAAGAAAGAATGAATGAATGAATGAAAGAAAGAATGAAAGAAAGAAAGAAAGTAAGAGAGAATGAAAAAAGAAAGAATGAAAGAATGAAAGAAAGAAAGAAATAGAGAATGAAAGAAAGAAAGAATGAATGAAAGAATGAAATAAAGAAAGAAAGAAAGAAAGATTGAAAGCAAGAAAGAATGAAAGAATGAAAGAAAGAAACAAAGAAAGAATGAAAGAAGTAAAGAATGAAATAAATAAATAAATAAATAAAGAATGAATGAAAGAAAGAATGAAGGAGAAGAGAAAAGAAAGAGAAAAAGGCCAGAATGGATAAGATTAAGTGGAACAAAGAAAAAACAAGCAAGCAAGCAAGAAAGAATGAAATAAAGAAAGAAAAGAAAAAGATGAAAGAAAAAGCATCAGCGTAAAGGGAATTATGAGAATAACGAACGAAAAATGGGTACAAAAAAGAAAAATGACGAAATGAATGAAAGAAGAAAATGAAAAAGCATAGAAGGAAACAACGCAAAAAGAAAAAAGGGAAGAAAAAAAACAAGAAATAAACTTTGTGCATAAAGAAGGAAGGAATGAAAAATTGTATTCGTAAAAAAATGAAATGAGAAGCAATTGAAAAGTGGTAAAAATAAATTTCGAATGAAAGAAATAAGTGAAACAGGAAATTAATCTATTTGAAAAAAAAAGAAGGAAGAAAATGCATTTGAAAATGAATGAGAATTAAAAGAAAAGAAGGTAACTTACGTAGAGAGAGAAACGGTATTAGGTTTATGTGAAAAATGAAAGAAAGAAAGAAAGAAAGAAAGAAAGAAAGAAAGAAAGAAAGAAAAAAAGAAAGAAAGAAAAAGAAAGAAAAGAAAAGAAAGAAAGAAAGAAAAAGAAAAAAGAAAGAAAAAGAAAGAAAAAGAAAAAAGAAAAAAGAAAGAAAGGAAAAAGAAAAAACAAGGTGACTTTCGTAGAAAGAGAAACGGTATTATGTCTATGTGAAAATGAAAGAGAGGATAAAGAAAGAAAGAAAGGAAGAGAAAGAAATAAAGAAAGATAATGAAAGAAAGAAAGAAAGAAAGGAAAAAGAAAAAAGAAAAGAGAAGGTAATTTACGTAGAAAGAAAAACGTATTATGTCTATGTTAAAAATGAAAGAAAGAAAGGAAAAAAAGAAAGGGACTTTCATAGAAAGAGAAACAGTATTTGGTCTACGTGAGAAAGGAAAGAAAGAAAGAAAAAAAGTAAAAAAGGAGAATTATGTAGAAAGAAAAACGTATTAGGTATATATGAAAAAAGAAAGAAAGAAAGAAAGAAAGAAAGAAAGAAAAATGAAGGAACAAAGAAAGGGACTTACGTAGAAAGAGAAACGGTATTTTGTCTATGTTGAAAAAAAGAAAGAAAAAAGAAAGAAAAAAGGAACCTATGTAGAAAGAGAAACGATATTAGGTGTATGTGAGAAATTAAATAAATAAAGAAAAAAAAAGAAAGAATAAAAATGAGACTTATATAGAAAGAGAAACAGTATTAGATCTATGTGAAAAAATAAATAAAGAAAGAAAGAAAGAAAAAAGTAAGGGACTTATGTAGAAAGACAAACGGTATTAGGTCTATGTGAAAAAAAAAGAAATTAAAGAAAGAAAGAAAAAAGAAAGAAAGAAAAAAGAAAGAATGAAAGAAAGAAAAAAGAAAGAAAGGGACTTTCGTAGAAAGAAAAGATAGATGATCAAAAGAGTGCAAAAAAGAAACTAATATATGAGAAGGAAGAACGAAAGAAAATCCTTAGATGAAAAAGATAGAAAATCGGCAAAAGGAAAGAAAAAGCAAAGAAATAAAGAAAAAAAGAAAGTGAAAAAGTAGAAAGAAAGAATGTTGATATATGAAAAGAAAAGGTGTTTAAAAAAGAAAGAAAAAGTGTGTAACAAAAAAAAAGCGACAAAGAAAGAAAGAACGAAAGAACATTGATAGATGAAAAAAGAGCATGAAAAAGAATAAATAAAGAAATAAAGAAAGAAAGGAAAAGAAACTTAATGGACAGGAATTATGAATGGAATAATCATTAGAAGAGGAAAGCGAAGGGGATATAGGAAGAAGAGGAAGATGAAAGAAAATGCATAGACAAAGGAAAATGAATATATTATAGGAAGAACGAAAGAAGAATTGACAGAAAAAATGAAAAATGACGAAATCAGTTGAGGAAAGAAATGAAGATTTTAGAAAAAGGTAGAAAGAAAAAAAAAGAAAGAATTGAAAGAAAAAAACAAGGAGAGGGAAGGTAAAAAGGAAAATAAAAACGTCTGAACGAAAAAAATGAAAAAATTCTCTTCGTAACAGATGAATAAAAAATTCTATTCTTAAGAAATGAAGAAAAAAGAGATGACTGAAAAAAAAATTATCTAAATGAAAAAAGAAAAGAATATATTTCGAAAAAAAGAAGGAAGAAAATTTTAGAAAGAGAATAAAAAAATACAAGTAAAAATGAAAAAAAAAAGAAAACACGAAGAAACCAAAAAATATAATTAATAAACAATTATATGTTATTGCAGATCAATAGAAAAAAAAGAATCAAATATATAGAAAAGTTTTTTAAAAAAAAGAATCAAATATATAGAAAAGTTTAAAAAAAAAAGAATCAAATATATAGAAAAGTTTAAAAAAAAAAGAATCAAATATATAGAAAAGTTTTTTAAAAAAAAGAATCAAATATATAGAAAAGTTTAAAAAAAAAAAAAGAATCAAATATATAGAAAATTTAAAAAAAAACAATCAAATATATAGAAAATTTAAATAAAAAACAATCAAATATATAGAAAATTAAAAAAACAATCAAATTTATAGAAAATTTAAAAAAAACAATGAAAGATATAGAAATTTTTTAAAAACAATCAAATATATAGAAAATTAAAAAAAATCAATATATATACAAAATTTTTTAAAAAAAAAATCAAATATATAGAAATTTTTTTTAAAGAGAATAAAATATATAGAAAATTAAAAAAAATCAAATATATACAAATTTCTTTTTTTAAAAAGAATCAAATATATAGAAAATTTAAATAAAAAACAATCAAATATATAGAAAATTAAAAAAACAATCAAATTTATAGAAAAATTTAAAAAAAACAATGAAAGATATAGAAATTTTTTTAAAAACAATCAAATATATAGAAAATTAAAAAAATCAATATATATACAAAATTTTTTAAAAAAGAATCAAATATATAGAAATTTTTAAAAAAGAATCAAATATAGAGAAAAATTAAAAAATCAAATATATACAATTTTTAAAAAAAAAGAACCAAATATATAGAAAATTAAAAAGAATCAATTATATAGAAAATTTAAAAAAAAATTAAATATATAGAAAATTAAAAAAGAATCAAATATATAGAAAAAATTTTTAATAAAAAGAATCAAATATATAGAAAAATTAAAAAAAAAATCAAATATATACAAAATTTAAAAAAAGAATCAAATATATAGAAAATTAAAGAAAAATCAAATATATAGGAAATTTTTAAAAAAAAAGAATCAAATATATAGAAAATTTTTAAAAAAGAATCAAATATATAGAAAATTCTTTTAAAAAAATCAAATATATAGAAAATTCTTTTAAAAAGAATCAAATATATAGAAAATTCTTTTAAAAAGAATCAAATATATAGAAAATTCTTTTAAAAAGAATCAAATATATATAGAAAATTTAAAAATCAAAGAAAATTAACATTCGAAATTAATCCAAGAAAATCTTCGAAAAACGTAACTTATAAAAAAAAAAAAAATAAAATTACCAATCTACAAAGCAAATAGCAAATATGTGAGGAACTAAATCGAAGGGTAAGATAAGCCAAGCGCCATTTTGTCAGGTTCTGCACCTGCGCAGTGGAGTCAAATACTGCATCTTATGGCGGCAAAGAAAGAAACAGACGACAATGTAAACGAACATAAAGGAAAGGAAAGACAATGAAAGATGGCAATAGATTTTAATCTTTTAGTTCAAATCTTCATGTCATAGTAATCATTGGCTCCATCTTGTTCGTCTAATTACTCCAGCCGACATTTTTACATGAAATAACAATCGGTATTACGTCATCAGATCTGGAAAACAATTCCTCCACCTTACACATACCTTTTCTTTTTTCTTTTTTTTCTCCTTCTCACCTTTCCTTGGTTTGGAAAAAAAATTCTTCTCAATCCTTTATCTTTGTTTCTGTCTTCTGTCTTTCATTCTCCTCCTTCATTTTTTTTTTTATTGTTTTTTGGGGTTTTTTTTTTTTATTATTGCTGATCCAGTTTTTTAATGACGTTTATTTCTGATGAATATCTTTCGAAACTTCGTATCGGGTAAAAAATTTCTTTCTTTTTTCTTTTTTTCGACGTTTCTTTTGAAAATTCTTTTTCATTTTTCTTTCTTCAACTTTTCTTTTAGAATTTTTAAAATTTTTTTTATGTTTCTTTTATAGTTGATTTTACTGTATTTTTTTCAGTGTTCTTCTATGTGCTTTCTTTATTTCTTTCTTTCCTTCCTTCCTTCTTTCTTTTTTCATCTTTCTTTATTTCTTTTTTCCTACTTTCTTTCTTTTTTCTTTCTTTCCTTTCTTCTTTCTTTCTTTCCTTCTTTATTTCCTTCTTTATTTCTTTCATTCCTTCTTTCTTTATTTCTTTCTTTCCTTCTTTCTTTCTTTCTTTCTTTCCTTCTTTCTTTCCGTCTTTCGTTCTTTCTTTCTTTCCTTCATACTTTCTTTCTTTCTTACGTTTTTAGCTCTCTGCTTCTTTTTCTGTTTTACTGTCTTTGTTTTGCATTCCTCTGTTTTTTCTTTCCTTTTGTGAATTTTTTTCATTTATGGATTGGAATTTCTTTCTTTAATTCTCTCTTTCTTTCTTTTCGTTCCTTTTTTTGTTTCCTTTATTTTTCTATCTTTCTTTCTTTCACTACAATTTCGCTCATTTTTTATTCTTTTACTTTTCCTTTGGTCTGTGATGATTATTTTTCTTCCTTCCTTGCTTACTACTTTCTTTCTTTCTTTCTTTCTTTCTTTCATTCTTTTTCTTTCTTTCATTATTTCTTTCTTTCATTCTTTCTTGCTTTATTTCTTTCATTGTTTCTTTCCTTCTTTATTTCATTCTTTCTTTCTTTATTTCTTTCTTTCATTGTTTTTTTTCTTTTCATTCATTCTTTCTTTTTATTTCTTTCATTCTTTCTTTCCGTCTTTCTTTCTTTCATTATTTCATTCTTTCTTTCATTCTTTTTTCTTTCCTTCTTTTTCCTTTCTTTCTTTCTTTCTTTCTTTCATTCTTTCTTCTTTCTTTCTTTCATTCTTTTTCTTTCTTTCATTCCTTCCTTCTTTCTTTCTTTCTTTCATTGTTTCTTTTTTCTTTCATTCTTTCTTTCTTTCATTCTTTTTTCTTTCCTTCTTTTTCCTTTCTTTCTTTCTTTCATTCTTTATTTCTTTCATTCTTTCTTTCTTTCTTTCTTTCTTTCTTTCTTTCCAATGACTTCAACGAAATCAAAGCGATATTGTAGACAGTCATTTCTTTTATGCTTTTCTTCCATCATCGTAATCTGCAATTTTCATTTCTCCCAGACGCCTTTCGCCAAATTCTTTCCCTCGTGGGATTTGATTCTACCAATTCCACTCTCGTTCTATCGCTCGTCTCCAATTCTATTTTTTGCTTTTCTTTTCTCTTGTTCTTTAATCTTTGATTACTTTTCGCTAAACATTTCCACTTTTTCTTTTAATGGCGGGAAATGCAATCAGAAAGTCTTTGACATTACAATTCATGGTGCCTCCTTGAATTTGCCGCCGAAATGTTATCAGCAAGATGTTCCAGTGATGCTCGGGCGAAAATTACTTTATTTTTATTATTGAAAAGTTAAATTCTACAAAGCGTCTCATGTCATAAGCCACTTCATGTTTTATAAATATATAAAATAAATACTTATTGGAGTGTAAACGTTATATCTGCGCGGTTAGGATGAAAATTTGTTCATTTTGCGCAGGTGTAAATAAATGGTAGCCATTTGTATAAAAATTATCCAGAATTTCGAAATCTTAATTTAATAGGCACGTTACTTGTTTGAAACTTTAAAATAGATCTTAAAGTTGTTTTGACGGATAGAGATAAATGTTTAAACCTTCTTATTATTATTCTCAACCTCCTCCTCTTCTTCTTCTTCTTCTTCTTCTCCCCTCTTCTTCTTCTACTTTTTCTTCTCCTCTTCTTCTTCTCCTCGTCCTCCCCTCTTCTTCTTCTTCTTCTTCTTCTTCTTCTTCTTCTTCTTCTTCTTCTTCTTCATTCAGAATTTCGAAATCTTAATTTAATAGGCACGTTGCTTGTTTGAAACTTTAAAATACATCTTAATGCTGTTTTGACAGAGAGAGATAAATGTTTAAAACCTTCTTATTATTATTCTCCACCTCCTCCTCTTCTACTTCTTCTCCTCCTCTTCCTCCCCTCTTCTTCTTCTTCTTCATCTTCTTCTTCTCCTTCTTCTCCTCCTCCTTCCATCTTCTTCTTTTTCCTCTTCTTCTTTTTCTTCTCCTCCTCCTCCCCCTCCCCTATTCTTCTTCTTCCCCTCCCCCTTCTTCTTCTTCTTCTTCTTCCAGAATTTCGAAATCATAATTTAATAAGCACGTTGCTTGTATAAAATTTTCAAATAGATCTTAAAGCTGTTTTGACAGATATAAATAAATGTTTAAAACCTTGTTATTATTATTATTATTATTCTCCTCCTCCTCCTCTTCTTCTTCTTCTTCTTCTTCTTCTCCTTCTCCTCTTCCTCTTCTTCTTCTTTTTCTTTGTGCTTCTTCTATCTTATCTCTCCTAACCCCCGTTCCACTCAGGCCTATCAGTTAGGTAAATCGCTGTTTTTTGTTGTCCCTGTTGTCTTCAACCCTTCCTGTAAGTATCAAATTTTCCAGACCCTCACTTCCTCAACTGTCTACTCCCCATATTAAATATAACTGTCCTTTTTTTGTTTCATTGCTGACATGTTCGGACCTTGTTATCTGCAGAATCATTCTGTAGAACCAAATGTCTCTTCTTCATCTGTGATGAGATTGTTCAACATTCCCTATAGGAAGGTTCAGCACTCTTTTCTTTGTTTCCAAGGAAATGTTACTGTTTCTTAATGCTATGCTTAGCTTTTGGTAGGCATCTTTCTCTCTCCTTCGGATTTCAGCGTCGCACTTTCCGTCTTCGTTTTAAAACATGTCATAGATATTTGCAAATCTTTTGATCTTTAGAACAAAGTCTGGTAAAATTACGTCTTTCGTGACGTGATTTAAGATCGGGCATCTTGTGCTTTTCAATGTTTCTTCGATCCCATAACACCAAAAACGCTCTTAAATCATATACACGGCATTAATAAGTTGGCCCTACGATATTCTTCGCTTAATCCATTTTTAAAGATTAAAAAACAACCTTCAAAAGACACATGGCACAGTGGATAAAGGCGTTAGTTAGATCCATTGACAGGACCCAAAGAGTTTGAGTTCAATACCTGGTTAAGGTAGTGGAGAACTTTCAGAGGGAAAATTAGCAGGAGATAACTGATAACTGACATCCATTAAACATGGCACGTGGAACTAGAACAGTCTACCCCAGTGAGCGAAATAAAGGGTTCAGTTCGACATTCCAACCACCTGAAGAAGGAAGGAGCGTACAACGGCCGAAACGTTGTAATAAATATGGCAACAAAGATGAGGACAATAGTCCGAATAATGCAAATAATGTACATAATACCTCATCTCAGAAATATAGACATATACTGAAGGGCCGAAACGTTGTAATAAATATGGCAACAAAGATGAGGACAATAGTCCGAATAATGTAAATAATGTACATAATACTTCATCTCAGAAATTTTAGACAGATACTGAAGGGCCGAAACGTTGTAATAAATATGGCGACAAAGATGAGGACAATAGCCCGAATAATGTAAAAGGTGAACAATCCTCCCATGTTGATGTTCGTAAGCCGGAATAAGCCAGAATTAATTCATCAACCGCTTTTTGCTCATGGTATTTCGGCTTTTCTATCGCTTCTTTTTTCTTGGACACAATTTCAGGGATCTCCCTCGATACGCGACATGTTAAACGCAATGAGGTGCACGTCTAAGGCGCGGAGTTAAAATTGTAAAGCTCAAAAATGGTGAACACTACGCTCTTCGATAAATTAAAAACATTATCTTAAGTCCAAGGTGTGCGGGTGGTGCGATAGATAAAGGTACGGAATGGCAAATCGGTGAAACGAATTCGAATTCAAGTCGAGGTCGTTATATTTACTTATGTGGAAATGCCCTTGCGAAAGGTAAGAAGAAATTTCTACCTTCCTCCAGATAAGGGTTAAATAGTAAATAAGAAATATGGAAAAATCATTGTTATCTTCCCAAAATTGTTAATGAAGGAAAAAAAAGGAACAAAAAAAAAGAAAAAGCAAAAAGGAAACCAAAATGATTTAAAGATAGATAGATAGATAGATAGATAGATAGAAAAGAAAGAAGCAGAATGAGATAGATAGATAGATAGATAGATAGATAGATTACGGATTGTGATTGATACCGAACAGAATGATTTTGGTAGATAGATAAATAGATAGATAGATAGATAGAAATAGAACGAGATAGATAGATAGATAGATAGATAGATAGATAGATAGATAGATGGGTAGATAGAAGCAGAATCATATATATATATATATATATATATATATATATATATATAGATAGATAGATAGATAGATAGATAGATAGATTTACGGATTGTGATTGATACCGAATAGATAGATAGATATTGGTGAGAAATAAAAAAAACATTATTCTTACAATCAGCAATATTATTGATAATCAGCAATATTAGAAAGAAGCAGAATGAGACAGATAGATAGATAGACAGACAGTCAGACAGACAGATAGATAGATAGATAGATAGATAGATTACGGAATGTGATTGATACCGAACAAAATGACATAGATAGATAGATAGATAGATAGATAGATATAGAATGTTTTGATTGTTGTCGCCTCTTAGTAATGTTTCTCTTGTGTCTTAGTGGCTTTACTCCCTTGCTTTGGGGTGAAATGATTTTTTTTTTCCAAAAAATCCCAAATATTTTTCGCCTTTAAATAACACTCTCAAAGTGCTGATAAGCCGTAAAATACAGCTTAATCAATCAATCAGTTCCAAGCACGTCTTTTGGCAAACCTGATCCTTAGCTTTGACTTTGATATGACATGAACCTTGAACTCATTTTCAGGGGCCATTTCTTTTTTTGTGTGTGTGTGGGATGAGTAAAAATCCTCACCTTGCATTTCTAGGCACGCCCAACCATATCGAGCTTACGGCCATATCACGTTCGAACACAGGTTCCTGTACGGTCACCGAAATTAAGCAAGACCGAGACTGGTCAGTACGTTGATGGGTGACCGTTTGCCAATATCAGGTGTTGAAAGCTTGGATGTGCAGATGTCGTAATGGATGATGGCTCGGAATTGTTCATCGGAGAGCCGAGTTCGAATTCCAGTTGGGTTCGTTGCATTCACTTAACGCGCAAATACCCTTGGGAAAGACATGAATCTATCTACTCTCACCAGCTATGGGTTAATTAGTAAGGCTTGTATCATTAAACCATTATTATCTCCAAAAATTAAAAAAAAAAAAATTCTTACAATCTAAAAATATTTTCTGACTTTCTGACTGCAAAGGGTTGGTAAACCGTAAAAAAAAAACCGAACCAATCAATCTTAGCAATATTTTTTTTTTTTAATCAGTCCTTATTTTTGCAACCTTCGCCTCCTCCTTTTCATCGCTTTCTCCTAATTTCATTGTATTTCAAATTTTCCGCTAATTCCCATTTCTTAGAATCTAAAAGTATTTTCTGGCTGGCGGGTGATTTCGAAAAAACTCCTTATTTTATGTATGAATAGCCATAACAACCTGTGACTTTTTTTTTCTTTGGGGTTGGTTAAAGGATCAAGCCTGCTATACCAAACCAAGACTTTGGAAGAACATGAAGGGAGAATAAAAGAAGTTCTGTCTTCCATACCAAAAGAGTTCCTGGTGAAATCAGTTGACGCGATTCTTGGGTGGTTCGGGAAGCTGGCAGCGAAATCTGGCCGGCATATCGAATTTGAAATAAAACCTCGTTCTAGGGTTGATAGGCCGTAAAAAACAAAAAAAAACAAAAACAAAAAACGAACCAATCACTCAGCTACTTTAGATCGGAAAGCGACAGATGTATTTGAAATACGTCTTTGGTCATCCCAATACGTCTTCAGATCTGTGTGTTGCACCTTTTCTCCTCTGTTAGGACGCTTCCCAGATATTTAAATCTTTGCACTTGTTTAATTTGTAATTTGCATTTTGGGCTCATCTTTTTGCTAAGTACCAACTACAAGGACACAGAATGCATCCTGTCTTCTTGTAGGTGATACTTAGTCCTTTCTTCTCGCTTTCCTTTTCTACCTACTGTAGGAGTTCTTGTAGTTCCTTTTCTGTTTTTGCTATCAACACAGTGTCATCATCTGCATATCTTATGTTGTTAAGATTGTGGCCACCAATAATGAATCCTGGCACGACTTCTAATTCTCTCAGAATTGCTTCATAGGTTGAATAAATCCTGAATAAATTCGGAATTGCTGTATCAGTCAGTTATGTGCCATCCGTGATACACATTCAAGCGATCATGTATCTTTCGATACATGACTAACGAGGCAGATTTTTTTTTCGCATTTCTTTCTGCGGTAGACCAGTTACCATCCAAGGCTATAGAACCCAGATTGTCCTGCTATTTACCCATAGCTGGGGGAAGAAAAAGAGGATTCATACATTTCCCAAGGGTATTAGCACGTAAGTGAATGTAATGGATTCGACTGGAATTCGAACTCAGCTCTCCGATTCCTCAATCCGTGCTTCTTAGTCAGTTACGTGCCATGCGTGATGCGCGCTTAGGCGATCATGTATCTCTCGATACATGACTGACGAGGTAGAATTTTTCCCGTAGCAGGTTACCATTTTTTTCCGCGGTAGATCAGTTGCCATCCAAGGCTATACAACCCGGTCTGTCCTGCTATTTACCCATAGCTGGAGGGAGAAGAAGAGGCTTTGGCTATCCCAGTGCACCTTCGAGTTTCAGTGTCGCACTTTCCGTCTTCTGTTAGGACCCTTCCCAGATATTTAAATATTCTACTCATTTGATTTTGGCATCCCCGATTTGTAATTTGCATTTTGGGCTCATCCTTTTTTGCTAACAACTATCTCTGTCTTTCCGCATTTAATTCTTTCTTCTCGCTTCCGTTAATTATCTTCTGTAGGAGTTTTCCTAGCTTCCTTTCTGTGTTTGCTATCAACACGGTGTCATCTGCATATCTTATGCTGTTAAGATTGTGACCGCCAATGATGAATACTGGTAGAACTTTTAATTCTCTCAGAATTGGTTCACAGGTTGAATAAATCCTGAATAAATTCAGAATTGCTGTATAGGTTGAATAAATCCGGCCAGAAGACACATCCCTGTCTTACACCACTTTTTAAAGTTTTATATAGGATTTATTTTACAGTTGGCATAGCTAGATGCCACCGTCAGTTCTTCTAGAACTCTCTTCCGGCTTCTTGCTTTCCTGTTAACTACGATCTGCGAAAATTTAAATGCAACGTTAATCGTCTGCTTCTGTCTTTTAGAATGCTGGTCTTTTGAGGTCCTTTATTGTTTATTTTCTTTCATTAACAGAAACCACTCGTATCCTAGTGGCTTAAATCGGGTTGCTTAAAAGGTGACTTTATCAGAAACGAAGATAATGTGAGGAAAAAAAAAAGACCTCATGAGAAATCAATAGAAATTCAAAGACCCTTTGCAAGCTGACTGAACTTGCGCGTTTTTTTTGAGCGATAAGATAAGAAATGAAAGATTAATCTTATTTCGTGTGGTGGGGACAAAGAAAGGACGTCTACTGAAGCTTTCTCTCCTGATTTTTACCCAGTTTACACTCAACACACTCACACCATTATACACACATGCACATACGCATAATTAAACGCAGTTACGCATATGCACGAACACACAAGCACACACACACACACACATATATATATATGTTGTCTCTTTCTTAATAATTATTTAATTTGTAAATATATATACTAGCAGTATGGCCCGGCGTTGCCAGTGCTTGATTCAAAAATCGTACGACTCATACAGCAATCGCTATCACTTGACTTAAAATATTTTTGCCCTTCCTTGCCTTTAAAGGAGTGCCCTTTGCTGTGCTGATGTTCCTACATGCCTTACTTCTTGCCTATCTCACACTGCCAATTTTTTTCTAAGCTCTTATACAAAACATTAAATCTGTTACGAAAAAAGAACTAAACAAAATGAACACAAAACGATCAGCTTTAAAAAAGGACTCGTAACTGGAAAAACCGAATGAAAAAAGAATGTTAACAACAAATACATTTCACACCCACCCCAGTTCTGCGGAATCAGAATCAACGTTGAGTTTAAGCAAACGAATGAGCCAATTGGAGTAAAGTGCCATGCAGATTTAAATTTTTTCCACTTGTGGCGAATGCAGCTATTGATTTTTTTGCATGCTAGCATGCTAGTTAACATTCGTGCCAGTCAGCTGTTGGCTCTCACGCAGGCCAGCAGAAAATGGACGCAAACTACATGAAAACTGCCGTAGAAGCATGACAAAATCGATTATTTCCACTATCGATGGAAGTTGGGAAATGCAAGGTCGGTGTTGGCCTTCCCGCTAACTTGGAGCATGTGCATGTAAATTTTGCTGCAAATCCGTCGAAAATTGCAGCCGTGCATTCGTTACACACACACACATCCTGCTTTTTATATATATGTTGTCTCTTTCTTAATTATTTAATTTATATATATATATATATATATATATATATATATATATATCTTGTCTCTTTCTTAATTATTTAATTTATTGTTGTGGGGCCAAAGTTGGGACCACAGAAGGAAAAAACACGGAACACGGATTAGATGTAAGAAAATATATTAACAACAGGTTACAGAGATAGTGTAAGCGGAGTTTATATATATGTTAGTGTCCAACACTGGTAGTTGTACGTGATTTCACTGTCTCACTGACTCTCTATGTCTCTATGTCACTCAGTCTCTGAGAGTCGTGTCGCATACTTAATATGGAAGAGTCTATTGTGTAGGTAGTTCCGTTTTATATATATATATATATATATATATATATATATATATATATATATATATATATATATATATATATATATATATATATATATATATTATATAAATATTTATTTATTTATATATATATATATTTTTTGTCTGTTTCTTAATTATTTAATTTTTATATATATATATATATATATGTATATATAAGGGCATCTCGAGGTGGTGTAATGGTTATGAAGTTTGTCTCGCTAGAACAATTGCGACAGAGTAGTGAGTTCGATTCTCACTGGATGCGCCATACATTCAGCCTTGTGCCATATCTGAGCTATGCTTGGAAAATCACTATGTATACAGGAAATACATTAAAGCACACACAATCACAAATGCCTTCATATCATTTTTTTATACACGAACGCGCGTGCACATATACACAGGTTTACGTGCATATAGCTTTAAAAATATGTATATATGCGCACAAAACATACGCATGCATATATATGTGTATCTATACACACATACGTACACATATGTAAACAAATTGGACATTTTATTCATAATTTTCATCCCGATATTCAACATCTTATTCGGAAATTGAATAAATATACAAAGAATAAAGAGACAGGCCTTGTTGGTTGAATTTAACAAAACTTGTTTGAATGATCACACACACACACACATATATATATATATATGTCTATACATAGACATATATCTATCTATCTATCTATCTATCTATCTATCTATCTATCTATATATATATATATATATATATATACTATTGTCCTCATCTTTTTCGCCATATTTATCAAAACGTTTCAGCCTTCTTCAGGTGGTTGGAATGTCAAACTGAACCCTTTATTTCGCTCACTGAGGTAAACTGTTCTAGTTCCACGTGCCACGTTTGATGGATGTCAATGGATCTTATCCACTGAGGACACATGTGTCCTTGAGGACACATGACACAGTGGATAAAGGCGTTGGTTAGATCCAGTGACAGGACCCAAAGAGTGTGAGTTCAACACCTGGTTAAGGCGGTGGAGAACTTGCAGAGGGGAATTAACAGGAGATTACTGATAACTGACATCTATTAAACATGGCACGTGGAACTAGAACAGTCTACCCCAGTGAGCGAAATAAAGGGTTCAGTTTGACATTCCAACCAGCTGAAGAAGGCTGGAGCGTACAACGGCCGAAACGTTGTAATAAATATGGCAACAAAGATGAGGACAATAGTCCAAATAATGTAAATAATCTAGATAATACCTCATCTCAGAAATATTGACAGGAATTTAGGCATATTCAAATATACACATTTTTCGCAAAAAGCCCTCTACAAACCATTTAAAACCCTTATTATTCAGTTTCATCCTGTCTTTCAGTATGTGTGTGTATGTGCAGAGAGAGAGAGAGAGAGAGAGAGAGAGAGAGAGAGAGAGAGAGAGAGAGATATATACACACACGCAAAAACAAACATACGCAAACATATATATATA